AATTATTTATAATGATATTCTAATGAGCCGCTTTGTGATATCACAAAGCCCGGAAAACAAACGCTGTAGTCCAAACGAGCCGTTCATTGTAGTTCTTGAAAAGGGATTTTTAAAAAAACGAAATATCTCCCTTTAGAGTGGACTTAGAGATTTGTAACTTTCTAGATCTTTTTTATGCCCAAACATACACACTACACACTGACTAAAATAAAAAAAAAGTGAAAAAGCATAATAGGACCCCTTTAAAATTAAAAATACAGTTTAACCCAGTGCTTCCCAAACCTGTCCTGGAGGCCCCTCTGCCCTGCACCTTTTGTATGTCTCCCTTATTACACACCTGATTCCACTCATCAGCTCGTTAGTAGAGACTGCAAGAACTAGATTGGGTGTGTCTGATTAGGGAGACATACAAAATGTGCAGGGCAGGGTGTCCTCCAGGACAGGTTTGGGAGCCACTGGTTTAACCTTTACAACATCTGTACAACTGTTTATTTACAAAATCTGATTGATTAGTGTCTGATGTTGATGTCTGTTCTCTTCTCTCCTGTTCTGGATTTGATGTCATAAAGCAGAACAACAACAGCAGTCACAGCAGCCACGCCCATCAGAGCAGTGACGACCAATCGGGTCACAGCTTCAACAGAATCACAACAACGGAAAGAGTCTGAGAGGGGGAAAAAATGAATTCAGCTGATCAGTTCATTAACAATCACCACTACAAAAAGTCTAAGATCACTAAAGACCTACCGGAAATCAAATAGAAGCCAGTAATGTCCAGATGTTTGGTCTGGTTACTGATGGGATTGTTGAGCACACAGCTGTAGGTGTTGTTATCCTGATATTCCACCTCCAGAGGTAGAGAGAGACTGATGCTGAGATCAGACACACTGATGCTGGACAATAAACTGTTTCCTTTGTACCAGGAGAGAGTCACGCGGCTCACATTGGACACTGAACACAGGAAGATCCTTGATGATCTTTCAGATGATGAAGATGATGCTAATGTGTCAATGAAGATTACTGGAATGGGCAACAGAGCTGGAAAACAAGGAAGAAATTACAGTAGGTATGAGGGATGCTTTGTCAGTGATTTAATGTGTTCAGAGTCCAAGTTTATTGTGATATGACTCAGTGAACATTTAATCAGCTGATATGCTCCCATTTTAACATTTATAATTGATTTACATTTCATATAGAATTACACTGTTTGAGAGACCAATGACTTAAAAAGCTAATAATAATAAAAAAAAGTGTAGCCAAGTTAAATTTTCAGTAACATGAAAATGAAAAATCAGGAATATGCACTCTATTAAAATGGTAAACATCTACTCACCATAAACAGTAACACTGTAACTCTGGATTGACTGCACATTTCTGACCATGATAGTTAGATCATAAACTCCAGTGTGTACAGACCTAGTGTTAGTGATGGTGAGTGATCCAGTTTGATTCTCGAGCTGGAGTCTGGAGTCTATGAATCTCAAATCATCTTCATAAGATGTAGAGAAGATACCGCTCACTCTTTTGATTCTAGCTATTCGAATGCTTCCAAATGTCCACTCGATCTCATCACATGTCTGTATTTCAGTAACATTAGATTCTAGAATAAGAGTATCTCCCTCCATCACTGACAATGACTTCACTCCATTTGTCTCAGCAACAAAAACACCTGCAGAACATTTTTAAATGTTTAAATATATACAGCGATGTTTTGTTGTTAACATGCATTGAGTGTCATGAAATAACAATGTTTTAATTAAATGTTCATTCATAAATATATATTTGTCAATAATGTATTTGTTCATAATATATTCATCATGATTTACATTACTTGAATTTACATGTAAACATTTTAACTTAACTGTCGTGCTACCAATAATGTAAATCCTCTGACTTAAACGTCACTACTACTGTGTGATGTTAATGATGTCATTAAAAATACATTCATACTTGCCAAGCAGATGACAAAAACACAAAGAAAACAAAATCAACGCGTGGATCATTTTCTTAAACCGTATGACATAAATCGCTTAGTCTGTAGATATCGACAGAACATGTGTCATAACCCTGCTTCACTATCGTAACAACCGTATGAAGATAAATTCGAGGTTTGTAGAGCCGAACGAAAAAAAAAAAAAAAAAAACCCCACAGTCGGGCCCCA